TGAGAAAGCTAGGTTGGTGGTGGAGCCAGAGAGTACTAAGTCCATCTGCTCAGGCCCGTTGGCCTTATGTAATCTTTTGTTGGTGGCCAGGTCCTTATTTGCTGGTGTCCATGGTATGCAGTTTTAAACTCCCGCACCCGAGGAACTACTTGGATCCAACAGAAGCTGCTTCAAAGGACAGTATGCTGTCACAGTGGCCTGGAAAGGGGCCTCTTTGCTTTTCCCCACAATCACTTCGACTCTTGAGCACCATGCTTCAGTTCACCCCCTTCAGAACAAGGAGCAGAGAGGAGTGCTGTGGAGGGCAGGTGGCCTTCGTGGAGATCAGGCTGGAGCCCCAGGCAGCTAGCAGGGCGCCCGGATCTGCCCAACTTCTGCACAGGCAATGGAGGACACTGGTAAGGGGCCAGAGGCATGGTCAGGTGACCGACAGATGGTGGTTGCCAGTTTCACTTCCCCTGGACAGCGTTCCTGGGAGGTGAGGACTGAGAGAGCTGGTAAAGCCTCATCTGTAAAGCTGGTTTTGTTTGTTTCAAGAAATACAAGTGTTGCTTCCACGGCAGCCACTCTTCTTTCCAGTTTCCAGGAGCATCAGAATGTGATCAGAATCAGCCCATGGACCCGACCCCTCCCCTGCTGCAGGTCAGCAGACTCCACGGGCCTCCAGGACAGTGCTCAGAAGAGGGTGTTGAGGGGCAGCATTAGCAAATGGAATGAAATGTTGCAACATAAGCAAAGGGACAGTAAAGAGTGGGAATCTCTCCTGAGCTTACTAGAAGTGGTGTTTATCCTCTTCAACTGCTGGGCCACTTACCCGATTTGGAACAGGGGTTCATGGTGGACACGTGACTAAGCCATTCTCCAGCCCACTGAGTACTTGGACTCTCCAAGGTTTGCCCCACTCCCAGGATGGCTCCCTCTCCACCTCTACACGTCTCCTCTCTGCAGAGATTCCAAGTGGCCCTCCTCATCCACTTTCTTCTGGTTAGAACCTGGCACAAGTGCGCTTCTGGGTCACTCAGTCCTGTGGCCACAGTACTCGCTTAATGGTCCCTTCCATACTGAAAACTCTCCATACATTTCTTTTAAAACCTTTTATTCAATAATATATACTTTTAAAATAATATGTAACTGCCCGTCATGCTATATATTGCCCCGTCCCCCACTGGAGTCTGGTCAGCTAATCAACGTGGTTCGCTGGAAAAACAGACGGCCACGGATGAATCAAGGGGCGCGGGGAGCAACAGTAACCAACAACCATTTGCATACCCTTCACATTTCCCATGCTTTCTGGGTCAGGAGGAAGTCAACAGGAAGCCAAAGGCATGTGAACCTTTTACATTCGGAAGTGAGGTTTGATACACGGTGGTGGGCTGCCCTTCAGTTGGTCTAGTTCGTGCTCGCCAAACCTGCCACCATTTTGTCTGCTCACGGAACGTGATCTCTCTACACACGTTAAGACGTTTGATTTGGTTCTTGTTCTGCTTATGGAAAAGTGGGAAGAACCGCAACAGACCTGGGGAGAGATGGGAGGAGGGGAAAGACGGCATTAATCAATCTGAGCCAGGGAGGGGCTGGCCTCTGCCTGTGCGGGGCTTCCTTCTCTTGAAGAGGGCCGGGGCTAGAATGCCAGGCTGCCTTCCCATGCCACTCTGGGGATACCTAGTGAGGACTGCCACACAACTTCTGCTTTGAAAGAGTAGCCTCTCCCTGCTCTCTTACCACAACCGAGGCAACCTCTAGTCCAGCCTTCTGGAGAGAACAGGAACACTCTGGACAGCGTTAGAGGCCTCTCCCTTGGATCCAGGTGGATAGTCTTGAAGCCCTGTGACACTTCTATACAAGCCAGGCCACAGGTTCAGCAGTCCAACTCTGGATCCCCTTCAGACTGACCTGCTGTACTGAGGACATTTAGGGTCTAAGAACCAGATGCCTGAGTATCATTCAGCAAAAAGGCTGAGTCCATTAATAAAGAGCAACAAGCCCAGCTGAAATATATTTAATTATCTGATGGAAACAGAGAATTATGGGTGTTCATGGCTGAAAACCTCTTTCCTTCTTCCATGTTTAGAATGGCAAAGTGATTGGCGAGATGCCAGGTGCAGAATGCTACAAGGGTCCCTCCTGGAACACTAGCACAATATTGAAAACACTTGGCAACTGGAAGCTGTCACAGTCATTTCATAAAGTTTCTTTGGGAAAAGAAAGTTCTACCACATAGTATTTGAAAAAGGGTACATGTGCAAGTTAAATTAATCTGCCTTTAAGAATGTCACCAGATTCCCAAGGGTCCAATTCTACAGAATGCATGTAAAGAACAAAAAAGCACACCACTAAAAACACTACCTGCCAAACAGTAGCATGTGCCCTCAGGTGCTCAAAATGTTGCAAGGAGTGGCAGTGGGGAGGAGTCTTTACAAAGGCCAAGCACTGGGCTACAAGGTTAAAGCCATACAACAAAACAGGTCAACCCCAAGAAGCAGGTGTCTGAGCGGTGCAATGCATAAACAAGCATGTCCCACCTGAGCTAAAGTCTTCACATGACGACCTATAACCACCACACCTATCTTTGCAGTTCAAGCTTACTCTTTTCTCCCTCCCTCCATCCCTCCCTCTCCCTCCCCAAGGAGACAGGAAATACAAATTAAGGTCCTCATAGCAATGGTCATCTCCCACTTGGGAAGGCTAGGTATTGTCAACATTTTTATTTAGAAAAACAAGGTTGAACACGGCATTTTTCTTCCCTCTAAGGGCAGCAGCATATGAATCACACATCAGTCATCCAGTGATAGATACACAGAGGTGGTCAACTCTGTCTGAAGTAGTCACTTGTAAAGGATCATAACCCAAGCAGTGTTGCTTTTCTGCAAACAGAAGGCTCCATGGTTCTTGAAGATTATCTGAATTTTCCACTGGATGTCAAGATTTCTGTCCCAAATTCTTAAGTCACCATTTACACCAAAAAGAGCCAGCAAGTGAAAAACTGTTAATTTATTGATTCAGTTTTTTTTTTTTTTTTTTTTTTTTTTTTTTTTTTTTTTTTTTTTTTTTTTTTTTTTTTTTTTTTTTTTTTTTTTTTTTTTTTTTTTTTTTTTTTTTTTTTTTTTTTTTTTTTTTTTTTTTTTTTTTTTTTTTTTTTTTTTTTTTTTTAAAACAATCCCCAATACATGCAGTTCAGGGTTAAGTATCACATTTGTAGCACATTGAGTCTTGACAAAAAGTATGCATCACCTGTATAATCCCATCACATCTTTCTTCCCCCAGTCTCCGTAATACCTGTTTGGGGGTGTTTTATTACACATTCATAGAGCTTAAAAGCATGTTATTACTGGTTTACTTGGCAGATGTATTCTTGCCACCTCCCCTCCCAGCTACCCCCACTGTGGGGTTAGTTTTTAAAGGTGGGACATTCAGTTTCAATTTATTAAGTTCACTGACAAACTAGGGCTTATTGTGTGCTCATGAGGACCCTGCTTTTGCTTTCAGTGTTTTCATCTAAACTTTGGCTTTTACTCTCATCATCTATTATCCACTCGTTTATCTGCAGGAGAGAATTCTGTTCTTCCCTGTGGATCCTCACACAGTAACACAGATTTCTAAACAAACCTTTAAATCTGAACTAGCAATAAAGGAAACTGTTAACTAGGCTCTTTTAGATTTATTTCAATGCATATATAAAAATTCTTCCAAGTTTGTCTCCCAAAGCAGCTCTGCTTCCATGCACATCTACACAGCACCTGGGAGAACCTAAGCCATTTCCCTGAGTAGGCACAGACTGTGAGACACTCAGCACCAGCTCTCTCTGGGACTCAGCACCTGACTCGAGAGCACCACCTTTCAAAGGGTCACAGCACCCAAGCCAGGGGGCAGTGTCCTCCCCAGAGCACACTCTGGAACAGGAACTTAAGTGTCTGCTCCTATCATACTCTCAAGAAGTACGCTTCCTCCTCAACATCTACCTTTAGGTCATTTTCCTTGGTTCCTTTTCTTTTAGCTGCCCCTCTCCCAGCCACTCTCTCCAAGCCCCCAGGGTTCCGAGCTCTTCAGTCTCCTATTGTCAGTCGGATGAGAGTACTTTCCTCTACAAGGGACTACACAAGCCCTAATCCTGGAGCAGTGCTGTGCTACAGACTGTCCCAGTGCCTCACGAATGGCACAGGCACTTCAGCAATTGGTAAATAGCCCCAGGAGCACCTGCTCCACACTATGTACTCAAAGGCTTCTCTCCCACCCAGCTGCCCACAGGGATAGGATAGTAACAAGGTCAGCTGACAGGAACCTGGAGAAAGTGGGCTGCCACCAAGCCCTGGAGGGAATGTTACTTAGTGCTTCATTAGTATCGCTCTCACCATGGGATTTCTCAGCTGAGGCAACCTTGCAGTTATGCACACACGTGGCTGCCAACAATGATACATGGATCTGGACTCAGCACACCCTAGCAGGTCTATGTTCCTGAACACAGGCAGTACCTGAGATGACAGTGTAACACGACCCTGTTCCCCAATGTTTTTTGCTTTTCTTTAGGAAATAATTAAGTCCTTGTCATAGGCACTTTTAACCTGTTATAAGGTATGAAGCAAACAAATGCAAATTACTGAGATGAGTTTAAGAATGAATATGCTAACTGAAAAGGATATTGGGTAGGTAAATTTACCATAGTTTAGTCTAAATGTAAGGCTACACTCCCACTCCTACACACACGCATGTACGTGCACACACACATTTATACATGGTCCTTAGGAACTTCCCAAGACCATCTCCTAATCCAGGTAAACATTTTACAATTTCAGGGGAGAAAGGTCCATTTGGACACAAAATGGACTTAAGAGACAGGTAAAAGAAAAGGTCTGGACTAGACTACTTCAGTTTGGGAAAGAACGGTCTAGGTGCCAAGTCCAGACCCAGAAAGGAGCAAGCACTTTAAACCCAAGTCTAAGGCATGAAGAGAGGTAAAAGTATAGGTGCCATGAAAGTAAACTGTATGCTTACAAAAGAATTACTGCTGTGTCACAGATGCAATTGCAGACGCAAGGGCTGGCAGGTCAGCTAGGAAGGGCAGAGAAGAGGGGTGGAGACTCACTGTCTGACTCCTTTCTAGATGCTTTTATTATGGCTGGGGTACCCAAGGGAAAGAAGTGGGGTTACTGCTCAGCCAAGACCCTCCAGTAGGCTCCTCTTGCTTGGACCAGACAAGCAAAAAATAAAAATAAAAATAAAAAATAAAAAAAGAAAGAAAGAAAACAAAAGGCAGAAGGGAAGAGGCCAAGAGTGATAAGGAAGACTTAGGGGGTGGGGAGCAAGAAAGACACACAGTGGCACATCTCCCTGATAACCAATACTTCAGGCTGCCTAAATAAGGGCATTTTGAAGACCTGTGAAAATCTGAAACACTGAGTGTTGCTGCCTGACATATTGATATAGGTTCAGAGAATTCACATCTTATATTTGATTTTCAGGTAGAAAAAGTATACATTATCAAGATACAGAATGTATAGTGCAGGCAGGCAGTATTAATATGAGAACCATAACTGAATGTATGTCCTGGCTTTAGGATCTTATTTTTAATCTATAAACTCAACTCTTATAAAAGGAGAAGAGTTTCACTTGTATTTTAAGTTCCCACCATCCAAACAACAAAAATAGAATCTACATTTAAAGATAGGACCTGCTACCAATACCAATATGATTTTATTGGAATATGGAATGTAAACAGTTGCTTCAAACAATCTAACCTTTAAAAATGTATGGCATTATTAAATAGTTAATAAATCCTATGTGTGATTGGTGGCAGACACCTCTACCTCTAGCCTAGGCATGTTAGGTCCCCAGAGTTGTGACAATGGCTCTGTAGATGACAGGTAGGGGACTAATGGCAAGTCATGCTGTTGACCAGTCCCTAAAATGAAATCAGCCCTATTCTTTTTTGAAAAATAAAACCTAGCTTTCTTTGTTAATGTCAAGGATAGCACAGCAGATCCAAAACTTTAACACTTGCCCCCAGGAGGTCCCCTTTTATCCCCAAGTGCCCTGTATATTTCTCTCTCAGTTGCTGGAGTTATGGGATGGTCTTGCCCATACAGTATCAGTACCTGCATGTGAAAAAAGACTTATCTTTTCCTTCTCATGTATCACATAACCAAGCTCAAAATGCTGTTACCCTGATTACAACTGGACTGTCATGGGGGAAAACGGGGGGAAGACAGGTAGTGATGCTTTTCCCCCCAGCAAATCTTTCCAAATAAATCCTAATAGGATGTTGTCTCCCTCTTTGACCTGCCTGAAAACTGACTTTTCAGTTTTAGATATGGTTGTGAATAAAAAGGTTGCTGTTTCAGAGGAGTGCATTAAAACAGATGCACACAAAGGGATGTGGTGGGAAATGCTGAGGTTTTCCTTAGAAGGCTGCCCCCTCCCAAAAAAAGGCTAAAGGAAAAAACACCAGCAACAAGATTCTGTGGTTAGGCAAATCAACATAGGTTATGGTGAGCTCCAAGTTATGCACATAGCATATTTCTGATGAGACCGATGGACCTGCTCATTGCATTTTTCAAGTGATGTCTCCTGACAGCAAAGAGGACTTTGTGAAAGTAACTGCAGTTTGCTCCCAAATGAAAACATTTAGAGGGAAACTGCAGAGATGAGGTACATTTCTTGGAGAGCTCATGTCATAAAAAAATACATAAAACATGAATTTGTAAAAGAGCTTAAAAAAAATACTGTTACTGTGTTTTTAATATCCTTTTCATAAATGAGGCTGGTGTGTCAGTATAGACTGCTGACATTTTGCTAAAACTTGAGCCTGAATTTTCATGAAAGGAAAACAGACCACAATGGAATAGATAGGAAGTCAGATATTCAGAGCTTGTTGACCGAACGGATTAATCAACAGTGGTGTTCTGTTAAATGAAAAATATACAACAACTCCGAGTTTCTCATCTCCCATGCATTCCAAATGGAGAGTCCCCTTAGATCCTGAACTATATATATGCATCATCACACTGCACAACTGCAGTTCCCTGGAGACTAGTACTGGGGAGTTTCTTTTGACAGACTTTTAGGTCTTTCTCTTCTTTGCCTTAGAAGGAATGATTAGAATTTCTTTTTATCACACTGTAGTTTTCCTTCAAGATTTGTGTTTGGTGGTTGGTTTTATTGGCAAGCATCAATGCCGCATTACCCGTCGCTTTCCAGTCTTCATCGTGCCGCTGTGAGACCACTGGAAAGTACAGCATTCTCTGCACAAGGCTGGGACTGCTCCTTCACCACAGGGTCTGCAAGAAAGCAGGATGAGCATTGCCACGTCAGAGCTGATCACTCAGAACACCATGACAAACCCATCCTGCCACAGTGAGACAGACACCCAGACTCAGGGCAAGCCAGTGTCAAGAGGGCAACTGGGGGTGGGGTTGGGGGAGAAAACACAGAACTCATCATGTGAAAACTAGAGACTGGAAAAAGACCAAAGGAATTGTTCTTGTAGTTAACTCTTCTTCCTCAGAGCAGACTCAACTGCCGAGAGGCAGAGAAACCTTAATTTCCCACTGCTTAAAATTCCCACTAATTTTATGTTATTGTTTTTGAATACCAGCACCATAGCCAACCCCTAATTTCTTTCAAGCATGTGCAACAATAAGCACTTCAGAAGAAAAGGTGAACAAAACCAGACAGGAGAAGCTTATTAATTTTAAGCAACAGTAGTTGAAAAAAAAATTTTTTTTTGGTACCAGAGATTCAACTTGGGACCTTGCGCTTGCGAGGCAGGTGGCAGAACCACTGGCCCAGTTTAAAATTTTTTAAACTGCAGTGTGCTGTGCATTCAGAAAAGTAGTCAGATCATAAATTATATGTAATAAACATCAGTATGTATTCTTAACCTGATTTACCCTAAAGGATAAGAAAAGCTATCTGTGTAATAAAGTAGAAAAAGGATGTCTAAGTTTCACTTGTCTAAGGTCCAAAAGGAAGAGTAAGACCTTTTAAATTTGCTGTCTCCTCATACTGTGGCCCTAGATTCAAGACCAAGCAATGTACCTTCAGGCAAGATTTAAAATTCTGGAGGAAGAAAAAAGGAGGGGGAAAGATAGCACACTGGTCAAACAGAAGGAAGAACAGTTTTCATACTGATTCAAAGAGTAAAACTAAGGCAAGTGATTGTCACTTACCCTCCCTATTCTTCAGCTTTCTCCCTGACCAGATTAAATCTTCTCACACATCAGGAAAGTGTGTTTGAAACACCTTTCTTCAGTGGGAAGAACTATATGCACACAGAACCACAAGCAAGCAGAGAGAATGAATGCATACCACATATACACTTCTGAGATATCTTAAGTGGTCCAGGTGAATCCCACTCAGGTCTTTCCTGGTCTTCTGCCCTCAAATGCCTATTTACTGCCTTCTTTAAAAAAATAATATGGTTATCTACTGTTAATCAATTAGCTTTGTTTTTGAAAGAAATAATCTTTGACTATGTTGCCACACAAATGTATACATTTGAAAACACAATTTAAATTTTCATAATTTATGAGCTCAGGGTGACAGGAGTGGTCAAACAGATTGAATCTAAGGGAGCTACACTTGACGAATAAGCAAACACCTTTGGGGATCAAGAAACTGATTTGTGCTGGGTGACACACCTGTCATCCCAGCTACTCAGGAGGTTAAAGTAGGAGTTTGATGAGTTTAAGGCCAGCCCAGAAGACTTACAAAGATCTTGTCTCAAAATTAAAATAATAAATAAAAAGGGCAGAGGATGTAGCTGAGGGACAGAATACTTCTGGGTTTCTCAATAATGGGACAAAAGAAAAAGAAATAATTTGATCTTCAATGTTGTCTCAATGGTTTAAAATGAATACGGTCAAATCCAAGATATCTAGAATTCTTTTGACAGGCTTTAAAAATAAAGCACAAATGATTTCTACTCTTTTAATAAATACACCCCTTGAAAACAGTCCTGGAGACTCACAGAAGTATGGGTGTTCCATGGCCTCTTTGGCAGTCAGTCTTTGTTGATGGTCATATCGCAGAAGTTTGTCCAGAAGATCTAGGGCCTCAGGGCTGACAAGGTGTCTGTTTTCACTATGGATGAAGTTTTCCCAGCGTTTCCTTGAATGCCTGAGAAAAAAAGTAAAGCATTAATATTGTGAAACTAAATCCAGTAAGAATCCTCTTAGAATACTGCACTGATTGTATCATTCTAATTGGTACCCACCCTACCCACACAGTTATAGCATCCTAAGAAAAAAAATGCACTTTTTTGCGGGGGGGAGAACCGGCGATCAAACTCAGGACCTTGTGCTTGTGAGGCAGGCACAGTACCACTGAGCTAAATCCCCAGCCCATAAAAAACTGTACTCTTGATCAGATAAACAGAATTAGTTAAAATATCTATAGCTGACTTACAATCTGTGGCATCTTTCTGGATTACTTTTTTATGCCTCAGGCTTTCTGTCAGTTCTGGGTGAAGCACGATGGTGCCTGAGTAATTTTGTTGGTCAGCAGATATATTTGGAGGGCTGGCCTCAGAAACATGGTGGTTTCTTTAAAAATACTTGAAAACTGTCAGCCAACCATTTACTTTTAACACTATGGAACTGTACCTGAAAATTCAATATACCTTCATACTTGTTAACCTTACAGGTAAGAGACCCATTACAGAGAACAAGAAACTATTAATTTCTTATTCAAAGAACAGCCTTCAAAGATTTTCCATGAAAATAAGTATATGCTATACCAAAACTTTTATTTTCTATTTTCTATTGATTAAACAAGTTATCTCAGACAGCAGTAAAATGACTAGAAGATAGCTGTAAATAATGTCTAAGTATCTCACAATAAATTAAAGAAAATCACATAAAGAAAAAGGATATTTCAATTCTGATATGACTAGAAAGAGGTAAGAAAGTGATTTTGGCTAATCTTCCACTTCTGAAATGAGGTAAAGCAAAACTCTCTTTCTTTCTCTCTTACTTACTGTCCCAAGATATCGTTGAAGTGTGGATCTAGGTCTATGTGATATTTCTTCAGATAGCCATACAGCTCGTCTGTACCCAGAACCTTGGCAATGCGAACAAGCTGAAACACAAGACAAACTGACCAAATTACTGAGCACAGAAGTCATTGTGAGCCTGAGGACACTGGACCAGGGAATCAGGAGACTCCACACCACCCAGTATCCAGGGACAAGATGGAGATCCAAGTCTAGGATGGGGAAAGATATTCATGGACATTGAAGTTCACATGAATAAAAAATTTCAAACTGCCTTTAATAGGCTAACATAAGCTAGGACAATAATCTTCTTAAAGCTAACAATTATGGTCACAATCTAATGATTAGAATCTAGTTTTATCAGACAACGAAGAGCCTGACTTCCTTACAGAGTCACTTTGGAGGTTAAGCATACATTGTTTTCTCTGTCTCTGTATCTTTGGGGACCTCATAATCAGACAAAAATTCTGCAAAAATATTTTCCTTAAAGAAAAGCTTATGTACAGACAGTAAGAGACATTGAGTGGCTCAAGGGGAGTATGCCCTTCTAAATATTCTATTTTCTTGGCAATCATCTCTAAATAAGTAAGAGCTAGATAGTATTTTCTCACCTGGTCATAGTTGTCCTGCCCATGGAAAAAGGGTTCCTTTCGAAAGATCATGCTTGCTAACATACAGCCCAAACTCCACATGTCCAAGCTGTAATCATACATCTGAGGAAATAAGGGCAATCAGTCTAGGGTGTTAGAAACACATTTTTCTTTCTTTTTTTATGGTGCTTGGGATCAAACCCAGGGTTTGGCACATGCTAATCAAGGGTCCTATGACTTGAGCTACATTCCCCTAGGCCAGAAACCCATTTTTTTCTGAGTTTCTAGTCTTCATTTGTCCTCTGTAGATATTTTAGAATTAAAAGCCACCCTGCCCACCAAAACAAAGTAGCTGAGAAAAATCTGCAATTAGTATTCTAGGGTAGAAGAATGATTGGGTTTTGAATTTATCCAAACTAAGTAAACATACCAGCCAGGAAGAGCCCTAAGGAAGTACAAAAAAACCCCAGAATGCCTTTTCTACCAAGTTCACCTGATAGTCCACAAGGAGCTCTGGTCCCTTGAAGTACCTCGAGGCTACACGAACATTGTACTCCTGAGCAGGATGATAGAACTCTGCTAAGCCCCAATCTATCAGACGCAACTACAAGTAGGAAGGAAAAAACACGTGAAAGGAGTGTTTTAAATTCCTGTGCCTAGGACAAGGCCACATCACATTTCTGGTAACAATTATATATGGCCACACAAAAAATGGGAGCAGATATACTGTTTTAAAAAATTACACTTTCAGGGCCAGGGATTAGCTCAGTGGTGCCGCTGCCTGCCTCTCAAGAGAGTGCAAGGATCCCAGTTTGATCCCCGATACCAAAAACAAAACAAAACAAAACAAACAAAAAAAAAAACCACACAACTTTCAGCAACTGTATCAGAGGGCATTTCTGGAACAGAGTACTCAGAATGTTTTTTAAATTATCTTGGTTTATCTATCAATAAAACTTAAATTTTTTTTTTCTACCTAAGCTTCAGGTATAACTAAAAGGGTATAACACCAGGACTGATGCACTGCTCTAGCTTGTCATTAACCTAATACTAGCTGATTCATTTACTTACCAATTAGGGACAACCAGAGTTGGATATCAAAATTAGGAGAGACCCAATTGTACTTTTCAGACCAGGCAGATTGGTGTAAGGGTCATTAAGTGAAGCAGAAACCACCAGCTGTAGTTTCTTTCTGAGGCCCTTGGGAAAATTAAGATCAAAATAAAACAAATGACTATAGGTAGGGTCATCTGTTCATTTTCCTTGCAGAAACCAACAATGGAGACTGGGGAAATAAAACTAACAATTCTGCCGAAGAAACCACCTTGGTAACAGATGGCTGTTAGGCCAGCTCTAAGCTTTCTAACAAAGGCTTGTTACTGCCTGGCCAAAATGGTACCTTTTTTTGTTGGTGATCTATCATGACATTGTGAGGTTTCACATCCCTGTGCATGATTCCCTTGCTGTGGCAGTAATCCAGAGCCTAGTAGGTAAGAAAGCACAGAGAAAAGTAAGCAAACCCTCTACCACCCCTCAACGCAAGCCCCACATTCTTATTATTTGTGACACCTTGACTTGAATGAAGTCTCCCAAGGGGCAGCTTGCCAGTAAGATAAGTGGGGGAAAAATGCTTCGGAAGGTGCCCCTTGCTCTCTGTGCACACCATGGCTGGCAGCTTGTAGAAAGGGGGCTACCGAAGGCTATGTTGAAGGTTTCCTTAAAAAGAGAAGAATGAAAAATCAGATTTAAGCCCCTCACTGGAGTCACCTCTCATGATTCAAAGGACAAGCCAGAATTCACGTGGACATGAAGAATGACACTCAAACACGTCTTTCGACATGACTGGTCTTTCAGACAAGTGAGCCATGTGGGCTTTGTATATTAAAAAGCATTAGTTTTTCCTTAAATATAATTCCTGAGGTAGGTGGCCTTTCAGAAGTATCACTGTTATTGCTCTAAGGGAGAAAGTCACTTCTCATAAGATAATCAGTATGCAGATGAGAGTCTTAAGTATGGAAGTGAATGATTTTTAGTAAAGTTATAGAGAGCTGCACAACTCACCAGTCTAGTATTAACTTTTCCACACCACCCCCCAAATTTCCCTTAAATTTCTCTGCACTCACTCCCCACTTCCAACCATTTCCAACCACTGATTTGCTATCTGTTGCTATGGATTTGTCTTTTCTGGACATTCATAAAATGACATCATACAGGTACAATACTTCATCTATCCTCTTTCATTCAGCATGTTTTCAAGATTCATTCATGCTGCTTTTTTCTTATTCCATAGCATCCCATTTTATGGATATGGTATTCTAGTTGAAGGGATTTTGGATTACTTCTACTTTTGGCTTTTGAGAACAATGCTGCTATGAATATTCAAGCACAAATCTTGAGGGATATATGTTTTCATTTCTCTTGGTTAGATTCCTAGTAGCATAGGTGCTAGGTTGTTAAGTTCAATTTTTTAAAGAACTGCCTATTTTCAAAGGCTGTACCATTTCACAGTCCCACCAGCAACATCTTAGGGTTCCAGTTTCTCCACATTCTAACACTTGTCATTGCTCAATTTTTTATTGTGTTTGATGAAGTTGAGCATCTTTTCCTGTGTTTATTGGACAGTCTACACTGTTTTGGGAGAAATATTGATCTTTGTTTAATCTTTCACTTTTTATAGTATTTGGGCTATGGTTTTTTAAGTGTAAAATCTACTGTTAAGTCTTCCTTTCATAACACAATTACTTGAATAAATTTCAAAGTTAGTATCTTTGGCTTGTTTTTAAATGTGCTTGAAAGTTACATGAGGTCAATGACACATTTCTCAAGTAATGACAGTAGCCCATAATCACATGGAACCTACTACACACATAGCACCGAGTGCTCTTGGTAGAGTTTTCTACAACCATGGCATTGCTGACAGTTTGGGCCAGATAATACTTTGTATGCAATTTTATGCATTGGAGAATAATTAACAGACTTCCTGGCCTCCATCCACTAGATATCGGCAGTGCCCCTCCAGTTATAACAAACAAACACACAAAAAGGTTGCAGATATTGCCATATGCTTGTCCCCAGAGAAACAAGTTTGACTTGATTTGGTAAAACCTGAATTAAAGTAGGAAGGAACTGTACACAGCATGTTTCCACTGAAGGAATATATAAGCCAGAGAATGATTTCAAGGTTCAGCACTCCAGGACTGAGCTCCTTTGGTCTGTATCAAATTTTGTTTTTCCCAAACACCAAAGAACATACAATGTATAATGCTTTTTATTTGAAGATCAAAAACAGTCAATACTAAACTGCGGAAACATACATAAGAATGTAATTTCCAGAGGAGGGAATACTGAAGTGAGGGTGCCGAGAGAACAATCTCTGATGTTCATCACACTCTTGGACCTGTTTAACAGAATGTTCTGCAGCAATGCAGAAAGTCTATACTTGCACTGCACAGTATGGTGACCACCAGCCACATAAGCCACAGTAGCCACTGAATACTTGAAATGTGACTAATGTGACTAAGGAACTGAATTTTTTTATATAATTAAAATAGCTTCCAAATGGGAATCAGCTACTGCATTGGATAATGTAGTGCTACATAAATGTGAGCAAAGGTTTTACATATATAAAATCCAAAGTTATGCACACTAAAGATTTATTCACTTCCTTTGTTTTATAACTGTTATAGCAACATTCCAAAGTGCCTTGGTGACAGTGCTGTATGAAACCTCCCCAAATCTGAATCAGATTACCCTGCCACAAGCCTTAGGAGTCACTGAAGTCATTCACACTGGGGCCCTCAGCCTCAGCTACTTCTACGTTTTCAATAAAGTTAAGTATTTCCTCTTCCCTACTCCTTTATTTTTCCTAAAGAGAAAATTTAACAATGTTGATTCTGTTACTTTGCCTCGTCTTTGCCAGAGGAATAAATTAATTAGAACCACAATGCCTGGGATGTGAAAAATAGTGATGAAAGCAAAGGCTGAATAAACACTGTAAGGTAATTAATTCTTTTGCTGATTCACTAGTCAGATTCCCTGTGGAGTTACTGACATGGTTTTAAATAATTCACATGGTGAATTACTTCAGCTATAAAATCTGGTACAGTTTCTGACTATTAAGCATAAAAGAAATTTTTCCAGTTTTATCTGGATTCTGAGCCTTATTAGCAGGAAGAAATATGCTCTTTCTGCCTACTAGTGCTACTATGAAGCAGGATGGACACCAGGCATTGAATGATATCTGCATGACAAGCCTGTGCAGATCTGCATTACTGAGATGTCTTTATTGAAGGATCAATGTGTCAGGTTATAAAAATTTAGCTAGCTGGTACTAGCTAAAAACTGCAAAATCTCAATGCTGGACTTAGCTCTCATGGGGTGACTGCATGGAGTTTTCTTCTTTCTCTTTTTTTTCTGAGGCAGGGTCTTGCTATGTAGCTCAGGCTGGTCTTGAACTTGTGGCAACCATCCTGTCTCAGCTATTATGCCCTGCAGCATAGAGTTTCTGGAAAGACCACTAAGAAAGTTCACAGGATATAGCACTGCAAACCTCTTTCCATGCCAAGGCTTCATTTGTAGTCTGGAGTGCACAAGGAAAAAAGTGGGTTCAGTTAAGTTCCATCTCCATCTTTCTGATCTTACTAACAAGATCAGTAGACACAGAGTGAATCCTTAAATCCACCACGTTAGCTTTCTCTAATAACATGGTTTGTGCAGGCACTCACATGAGGAAATATTCATTTCATAGTACATTCCTATCCTTGATTCAATTTGGTATTTTGTTCAAATAACTCTTCACAACCCCATGAAAACCTCATTTTGGCAATTTTCTTAAATAATGATCTTTTTCAACTATATTTCAGAGATTCTTAAATTGAGATTCAAGTCCTACCTCCCAAATTTCATGCAATATTTATGCATTTTGGGTAAAGGAATTCATACCTTTCATTGGGTTCTTAGTGACCCATGACCCTAAAATGCTAGAATCCACTGGTTTATACCATTTTATAAATCTTTTTTTTTAGAATTCTTTGAATTAACCTAGACAGACTAAAGTATTGCTCAATACTTCATATTCAGTAATGCTTCAAAATTTCATAATGCTAAGGGATTAATAAGTCATTTAGAAGGTCCACCCACTTAGTTCTCTCTGCATTAACTAGTTGTGACTAGAAGATAAGAACAGATACACTCATTCAAGAAGGGGATGTTGAAAGATAGGAAAAAAAAGAAGAACTGTAAATGCCTGCCATTCCCATAAATGTGACTTTTCTATCAAAACCTAGGGCCTATTTCTATACTCCTGGAAGCCAGGCTTCTCCATGATTTGCTTTGGCCAACAGGACACTAGCAAGCATAACACAGACAGAGGATTGAAAAGTGCCTATGTACTGAGGTTTGCCCATCTTGCTGCTAGGAACCTGAGACACAACCATGGGAAGTAGCCTGGACAAACCTCCTGGAAGATGAGAACTCAACTGTCCCAGCTCAGATCACTGATATGTTAATGAGGCCATCCTGGACTATCCTGTCAGAGTCAGGTTGGCTCAGATCTAAAGAATCACCCAGCCAACTGATGAAACCATGAGAAACAACAAATCACTTTTTAAAAGTCACTAAGTCTGGGTCATTTGTTATATAGAGAAAACTTAAAGTATGATTAAGTAGCAAAAAAGAAAATCCAAGGGTTATGACAGGTTCTAATCTCTGGTATAAAAACTCTAGTACCACTTGAATTGGCCACCCTTCCCAATTCTACCAGGAAATTTCCATGTGACCTCCCACAATGGAGGCCTCAACATAAATAAAGTAAGTCTCACTAAATTGTTTGGGTATCAGAAAATATTTTGTTCGTGTTCACTTTGTCCTTTCAAGAACTATAATGAATAAGTCTGAAAAAAGTGCACTGCTTATGAATGCTACTTACTTTAAGTAGTTCATACATATAAAATCGGATATCAAAGTCTGTCAGGATCTGGTAGAGTTGCTGAAACAGATTTCAGAAAACAAAAAGTTATACTCTTTGCATCTTGTCATCCTAAGTGTCAGCCATTCTCTGTAAACTTAGTCCTTAAGTTACAAAGGAATCTCATGGCTTTTTACCACCTGATCTGGAATAAAACGGTAAATATGAGGAGTCTAACATTTTAATTTTCAGAAGAAAGGATAAATAAGTTTACTTATTCATTCACTCATTCATTCCACAGGAAGAAAATATTTAAGCCATCTTGGATCTTTCCTATTTAATGTTCCATAAGTGTCTGTATTCAGGATTTTTTGAGACAGGGTCTCAATATGTAGTCCACACGGGCCTTCAACTCACTATGCAACCGAGGCTGGCCTCAAACTCACAGCGATCCTCTTGCCTCAGCCTCCCAAGTGCTGGGATTACAGGCATGTGAAACCACACTGATGCTCCATAACTTTAATAACCACAATTACATTAATGTGAAGTCTAAATTTTCCAATGTCCTCATATTCTTGCTGCACATCAAATAAACCAACCCCACTGCAGCACTGTAGTATATTCTGGAGAAATGAGTGCTGAGTGGACAGCATGGTCCCTCGGCTGATGTAGTACAGCATTAAGATAACCAGGCTGTTTGTGAAAGAAAGGTGACTTTCCAAAAACCTATGCCTTCTGCTCACCAAACCAATTACAATCTGGAAAAAATTTCCTAGGCATTAACTCATGTTTTAGGGGGGGAAAAAAAAACAGTAGGGGAAAGAAGAAAAGACAGGGATGCCAAAAGTGATCACAGGCCAAAATGATGTACAAATAAAAACTTTCATTACTGATAATCGAAAGACCCACCCATTGAGAGTTAAAATCAATTTCTAACAATCAGATTACAAGGTTCATTAAAAGCATGACAAATCCTTGTCAAAAACTATACAACTATCTTTGATATTCAATCAACTCAAAGTAAATCTCTCTCCCCATCAATCTAGGCAGCACTTTCTATATAATTACTAAAACATCTTTTTCTCTATTGGAAGAAAGACTCAAGCAGCATAGGGAAACTTAGGAGCACTGAACAGTGTGTACAATGTGTCTATGTAAAGCAGGAAACAAAAATCACACATATTTTTTGTATCTGTAAAAATGATATGGAAGAAGCTAATTAAAAGTTGTTCCATGTATAAGTGTAGAGGTTACATTTCTTCTTTTCACTGCCTCTTTCAGAAAGTGAGGGACTCTCCTCTCCAGCTTTTTGTTTTTCTTTTCTTTGTGGTACCACGGATCGAACTCAGGACCTTGTGCTTTTGAGGCAGGCAAAGTGCCACTGAGCTAAATCCCTGGTCCTCCTTTCCAGCTAAGAATATGTGGTTTCAATACAAGAAAAAGAAAAAAATAGAAACAGTCTCTGTAAATATGGAGAGGTGGAAGGGTTGAAAGGAGGGCTGGGGAACAGGAAAAAAATAAGAACCAAGATACATCATGTAAAGGTACAATGATGAATGTAACTGTATTATATGCTTAAAATGTACCAATAAACTTAATTTTTAAAAAATACGTGGTTTCATGTACTTCAGAATGGCTACCAGCTCAGGCATGGCAGGGAACTGAAATGCAAAGGCCAGTACACTGCAGTGTCTTGAAGGCATCCCAGTGCTGGGGAAGATCCTGGTTGGGGCTGAAATATACTGAAGCACAGAGGCACAAATACTACTTCTGCTCAAGAGAGCTTCAACTCCCTAACAACCAACCCTGGGTTTTTATCCTCCAAGCTCTGCTCTGGCAAGGCAGCCTTCTTTAGCCAGCATTCGGCCACAACCAACACCCAGGATACACAGATGTAGGCTGAAGATACCATCTTAGGTATTAAGGAGATCACTTGCAGAGACTATGCTAAACTAAACATCAAGTCAATGGCCTGTGAAAGAGAAAAGATCAAATTCTCTGACCTAAGAGGGCTGGGATATTTTATTTCCAGAAAACCAATATAAGCTATTTTATTCAAATTTTCATTTGCAAAAGGTTTCCCTTTCGTATCACATGGTATCCATACCAAGCATCTTTGTAAACAGTGTAAGGCATAAAAATAAATGTCCTTGGACAGCCAACATAGTATTTCTAGCTATTCCAACCAGTATCACTTTTATTTAATACAAAAGACGCCAGCTTTATAACACTGCTTGGACTTTATATATTACAAAGTTCTAGATGACTGGCTGCCATTCATCCTCCCTCTGCAGGAGCTCTGAGTGAGAGGACACCAAATTACATCTACAACATTTAGTCTCCTGGGCCTAAAATTCAGATTCAGCCTGGCCTCCTATGACTTTCGTAGCTCTGATCCCCACACAATCCCCAAGATTCTCTTCTCTGACTACATGAGCCTGTGTCTGCTGCCACTAATCTTCCCTCTCTAGCATCCCTTCCCCTTAACCTGTAATGGTAAATTTATCCCTTCTCATTCATTTTCTAGAGAGCAGAAGCTCGCCTCTACCTTCTCCAGGGCCCCAGGCCATTTGCCATGTGAGGTATTCACAGGATACTGAGAACAACCATGCCTGCACAGTTAACATTCCTCACTTGGACACTAGCAGTGACCCAGAGTTCTCAAGATACACGGGGGGAATTGGGGTTGGTGGAGGCTACCAGTTTGGTGATTCAAGATCTCTGAACTATCTACATCTCCCAAGATGGCAAGGGTCTACTGTACCACTAGGTAGTACACCTGTTTTCACCACATAGAACTCAACCATATTCTAAGCTCTTAAACAACAGAACAGTGTATCTACTCCATGTCAAGGATGGTGGTCTTCTGTCTACACATGTTTTTATGATGCTCACCAGTCAATGGAACAAAACACAACACTGTCTTACAAGAAACTTCTGAGTCCACAACAAATCAGAAAGGGAAACCCAATAAAAACCATACTTTCTCTGTAGCTTTGTTGAGAACATCATTAAACAAGCAACTGCAAAATGTTTTAGGAAGTTAGCTTTGCTCACATTTTCATGAAGTGACCTCAAGGCCCACTCCCCACTGCCTGCCATACAGGAAGACTTGTGACCAGGACACAGAGTGCACACATCCTCTCCTATACACAGCTCAGTCTATGAGGTCCAGAAAGCTCAGGTTCCTCAAGCAGAGGAAAAAAAAAGTGGGGGGATAAGGTTATAAAGTGCAAATGAATGTAGTGTTTTAATGCCAGAGTCCCCAGTTCAGATATTGCTAATTTGTAATCCCCAAGATCAAGATTAAAGCCAAGGTCAACATTTCTAGAATGGCTATCCAAGCAAATAAATGTTAGAACCAATCACCTAAAAACATCACTTATTTTCTTAAAGACTTACAAAGAAAAGAGAAAATAATGTTAATGACCTACATATAATTGCAGTACATTTATTCCCCTGAATGAGGAAACTGAACTTAAACTCTAATAATTAACAAAGCCTCATGGAGGGGCTGGGGATTTAGCTCAGTGGTGCCGTGCCTGCCTCCCAGGCACACCGCCAAAAAAAAAAAAAAAGGGCCTCATAGGATCAGTTAGCTCAGGTCTACCACAATGTGAGTAATTCAGAAAGTCTCTAAATATCAGTGTGCATATGTCATCTTCTTAGAAGCAAGCCCATTCAGAGTGTCTTATCAATCTTTAAACTGTTCAAACGATGCTTTCTTTGGGTCTATTCATTTTTATATTGTTCCAAAAGCATAGAAAACTGAAAAACGTGTCTCAACAGAACCACTTTCTCCCTTGGGACAATTTTGATTTAGGAGCACAACTATTCATTCTAACTCTTAGAGGTTGGCTTTTGCTCACTCATTTTGAAGTTCTGATTTCATTCTAAGTGTCATTATTTTTTAAAAAAATTATAACTATGATATATATGCAATGTTAACTGATGGTTTTGAGTAGAAACTGATCAAACCAGTACCTTTCCCATACACTAAATACAAGGAAAAAAATTAGTGAGGCCGAAGGAGATCTGAACTAAACTAACAAGTGTGGGATAAAAAATGACAGGCATTAAAATCATATGACAAACTTTATAAGAAATTCCAAATAATGAACATTATATAGCTTGAGTATCCCTTATGAGAAGCATTTGGGATTTCCTATTTTTTCAGTCCTTTCATATACACAACTTAGTCTACGATATCCAGAAATACAAATATTTTTATAATATTTACTTATGAATAAAGTAATGAATGCTTCACATGCATCCTGTAGGTTTAATTATTTTTTTGTTTTTTGAGACAGGATCTTGCTATGTAGTTCAGGCTGACCTTAAACTCACTATGTAGCATAGGCTGGCCTCAAACTCATGGTAATCCTCCTGTCTCAGCTACCCAAGAGCTGGGATTACAGGCATGTGCTACTACACCTACCTCTGAAGGTTATGTTATACAACATTTTAATTGTGTACATGAAACAAAGATTCATGATGTAGTTTCAATTTTCTACTGCAGTGCCACATTCGTTCTCAAAAACTTTTGAAATAGTGAATATTTCAGATTTTGGATTTTTGGCTTAGGGATGCTCAACTTGTACTGATCAGGTTTTCTGTAATCAAATTAGGAATTAACAATAAAAGAAAAAGAATGTTTTCTATTGTCTTACTATGGTTATGGTCTGGCTGTGTTGCCCAGACTGAGTCTGAATTCACAGTTCTCTAGCTTTAGCAGCTGCAGGAGCTGCAATTACAGGTGTGAACCATAATATCCAGCATATAAGAAGAATTTCTTAAAAACCCAAATAGATCCTGAACCAAACATTCAAACATATAGCTCTAACAGACAATACTGGGAAATTAATAATTGGGAAATGTTTGAATATAGATTTTATATTAGATGGTATTATAGCATAAATATTAAATTTCTTAGATGTGCTAACCGTATCATGTAGGAAAATGACTTACTCGCAGTGCTAGCATACTGAGGAGTGAAGTGTGATGTTTGCAATTTACTTTAAAATGATTCAGCAAAAAAGAGGAAGGGGAGATAGAGAAGTAGCTGCAAATGTGCCAAAATA